TTAGTGCTAAAACCAGTAACAAAAGGCCACAAGACACAAATGACAACGTAACAGAAGAGAAATGGACACTGCCTAAAAACTTATGGATGCTGCCTAAAAAAATAGCCATTTGCAGTGAACAATGGACTTTGTTAAATTAACTCTGCACAGGAGGCAAAGATGACAACTCCACACTATACATAACAGAGAAACATGGAAGTCATCCAATGCGGTCAACTTGATCTAGAGGAAATCATCCTTCCTGAACTCAAATGTAACAGTGAATTTAATTCTCAAATAAGAATTTAAAGCAGGCACTCAAGTGATTTTAATGCTCCTCAGAATATCAGTATACTGAACTGAAATTCCTCTCAAACATTCAAGTATTTCTTGAGCCATGTCCCTCCACAATGGCTGGCCAGCTTCAGTCAGCAGGGCATTTCAAACCAAGTTCAGGAATACCAGAACAAACTACATTTCAAAATAAATTTTCCCTTCTGTACTTCACTGAACTTGGAAAGAGAAGGGAAGATGCAGAATATTAGAAGATATTTGTACAGCTCCTGGATATACAAGGAGAAGCAAGAGCAATCCATAGACAGTGAGAAGAGAAACAACAGTTACACTAGACACCTGGCATCTACTGCTTGAACCAGATTCAGTACCACTACCTCTTAGGTAAGACCACAGGCAGCCAATTTTCTGTTGTCCAGCTTCTGAGGTCACAGATGGGTATGGAAGAATACAAAAGGCAAGTGCATGCAGCTTTGAGCGAAGTATTTAGGGAAAAGCTGGAGAAATGGATTATGCAGTGAGAAAGAAAAAATGAATATGAAAGGAAAAGGGTGATGTGGAACATACAGTATACAGGAGCTGCAATTAGGGGACTGGAGGAAGAAGAGAGGGTCACTTTCTGTACTTGCGCTTAAAAGTGGCCAGTTTGTCAGACAAACCACAGAGAGTGCATTAACCTTGCTACAAGAGCAGAAACACTCTGGGTCCACAAAACCTGTCAGTCCAGATGCAACTGTATATGAACACTGATGCATACAAGAGGTATTCAACATTATTGGGTTGGAGCATCAAGGCCCCAAGCAAAATCATCCAGCTCTTCTTCTCCAGGACTTCTCAAGGACTACATAATTTTGTAGCTGCAACCCCATAGCTGATCTGGCTTCATACACTGATGTAACTCCTAAACATCAGGAGTGTGAGAGTCCTTCCACAGAAGGATACTGGACTGACCCTGCCATAGTTCATTTCTCTGAATTGGGTCCAGCCCAAATATCTGGATGAGAAACTTTGGAACAGGACAATAAAAATCTGCTGTCCTTGCTTTAGATAGATGGCTAACAATAACCATTTCAAGAAAATGCAAAAGATACAGCTTCAGTAAGGAATTCAAGAGTGGTCCCACAGAAATGCAGATGATCATCCAGAGAGACACAGACTTTAGAAAAGATGCTGGAAACAACTCCCATTATTGGTCTGTCTAGCTGTTGGATGCACATGTGCTCAAGCACACACACTATTTGGTTGTTTTTTGGTTTTTTTTTTTTTTTTTTTGGTTTGGCTTGGTTTGTTGGTTGGGTTTTTTTTTTTTGTGGGTTTTTTTTTTTTTTGGTTTTTTTTGTTTTGGGGTTTGTTTTTTGTTTGTTTTTTTAATGCTCTAGGGCCTACACCTCTGCTCTTTCCCGTTCCATAAGCCTTTGTAATTCATCAAAACCAAAGATCTGAGATCAAGGTTGAAGGCTTAAGTTGTGCCATGGAATCTCATTTCAGTTTAAATAAACCACAAATTTTAGAAGTTGCCTTGCATCTTGCTTGTGTGTCACATTGTAAAGTTTTGGCTGCGTGGTAAAAACGAATGTTAACCTTAGGAGCAAAAAGATGCACAACAAAGGTGGAACAGTACAGTGTTGAGAGAATTTTGCAACAAAGGGTGCAGAATATTCTAGTATATAAAGAAACCAAAAAACTAAACCAAGCTATTTTTATTATTTTTAAATTTGTAGCTTCCAACTAATTATGACATTTATTTCTGGAGCAGATCTCATTACTCAAAATAAGTTATAAGTATTCTGGAATTACTGTGAAGATAAACATAAGTCTTGCTATTAAACACTATTTTTAAATTTTTTCTTCTATTAGCAAGTAACTACAGACTCAAATTGGATAGTCTCATGGCTTGCTTAACAAATAATAACACACTGATGCCTACACATAAAAAGAAGATTTTCCATAAATAAACGCATCTGCCAAGAATAATGCAAGTCACAGTCTAGACAGAATTCATACTACTCTTCTTGAATTTGCTCCTTACACTTGAAGGTGGTAATGATAACGTTTAATTCTTAAGGGTACTTTCAATTCAGTTACATCCCTCTCAATTTCAGTTCCTGATAAGATTTAGAGTATGCAAATATCACCCTGATTTTAAAGACAGGGTCAAAAAGACAGAAGTAACTCCAGAGTCACTCCAGAATGCTAATGTCGAGGGCCACTGGCAATACAAAAAATAAAAGCTACTTAAGAACCCTGACAACTAGAAAATCATAGAATGGTTTGGGTTAGAAGGGACCTTAAACATCATCTATTTCCAACCCCCCTGCCATAGGCATGGACACCTCCCACTAGACCACATTGCTCAAAGCCCCATCCAACCTGGCCCTGAATACTTCCAGGGAGGAGGCATTCACAAGCTTCTCTGGGTAACCTGTTCTTCCAATGTCTCACCACCCTCAGAGTAAAGAATTTCTTCCTTGCATCTAATCTAAATCTATTCTCTTCCAGTTTGAAACCATTATCCCTCACCTATCACTACATTTCCTCTCCATCCTTCCTGTAGGCCCCCTTTATTACTGGAAGGCCACTATATAGTCTCCCAGGAGCCTTCTCTTCCCCAGGCTGAACAATCCCAAATCTTTCATCCTGTCCTCACAGGGGAGGTGCTCCATCCCCCTGCACTGGCACTTGATTAAAAAAAAAAAAAAACAAAACACCACATTTAGTGGGCCCTTTTTAGGTTTTGTTGTTTCACAATCTAAATGAATTAGAGACTGCAAAATAAAAATGAAAAATAACCAGCTGTTGAATTACATTAATTTCTTCTGTCGTTTCTTCCCTTTTGAAACACAACTCCTTATATTAAGAAAAATGTCCATAGACATGTAGCAAGGTGTCAAATTTTAGATCTTATTGAGATAATGGAATGCATTTTCTGTTAAGAAAGGTATACAACAGAACCATTTATAATACTTCTCTCTATATACACAGCTCTGAAACAGTGTCTGCCAAGTTTTGAGCTACTGAGTGTCAGTTACACCAAGTGAGCACCCTATCATATTCCTTAAGCACTGGATGTTATTTTAAAAAGAACAGTCTTAGCCATCATGTACCTTCAAGTAGCCAGGAAAATAAAGATCTAGGATCTAACTGTAGAGATAACACCCTTAGCCAATAATCCTCACACACAGGAATTCATCTAGAGGGCAAGGGGAAGAATAATTAGCAATGCAGAAGCCCTTTTCAGAACTGGACATCAACAACTTAAGAAAGATCTAAGTGTAAAAAGCATACAAATAGATTCCCACTGTTCTTCACAACTTCAAGAGGAAAAAAAAAAAGACTTTGAGAACTTCCAGCTGCATCTGAAGTTTTGGAGAGGTATACTGATGTTAGGAAAAGCCAAAAATCTCATTCTGCTCATTACTTTATCGCATTGACAGTTTTTCGGTTTTGTGGTTTTGCTGGTTTGGTTTTTTTTTTGTTTGTTTATTGTTTTGTTTGTTTGTTTGTTTGTTTGTTTTTAAAAAAAGATTACTTAACAGCTGGCAATACATATACTGCCTCTCTCACAAATCCCAGAGAATTTCTTTGTACTGCACTGTTCCAACAGCCCAGCCACACACATGGCTCCATTTTCCTTCTCTAAGTTGGCATTTCTTTTGCTCCTGAATAGATGTGATCACCTGAAAATTCTATACTCACCTAGGGGATCTTGCCAGACCTAGCAACATGAAACGATGCCAATTCCAAGCACAACTATGGCTGATAAATCAGTGTTGGCATTATGATACATCCGTATCTTGTGCTGGATCACAAGAGTGCCCTGTAACTTTTATTTCTCCAGAGTGTGCTCAAAAGCAAAAACAATTTACAAAAAACAAATCAAGATAGCCCAGATTATCATGACCACAAGCAGCTTTTTATTCTTAAAGCTGCTATGAATCACCTTTAATAACATGGAAATGAAGTCATTCTGGTCCAGCTGTGCAGAAGTAAGGCACTTCGTACTTCACTATATTTAAAATACAACTAGCTATTAAGTGTAGATATCCTACAAAAATACTTTTATCTGACTTCCAGTATTAAATACCAGGGCAACAAATACTGATCAGAATAGTAGACCAAAGCAACTTTCCAGGAGAACAGACCTTTCCAGAACACATGATGAACTTGTCAATCTGATTAGTACAGTTTAGCAAACACATAACCAGTTCTGATACAGAACGTTCTTAATTCCAAGCAAGTCAGACGCAGCAAGCCACATGGTAGAATTATTAGTTTGTCACACTGTTTAAAATTCTACTTTTTCTCTAATATTCTCAAAAGTATCTATGTGTTAAAAAAATTATGGCAAGACATTTAGAAAACTAGATCAGTAACTTACTTTTTAAAAAATAGAATTGAGTTTTACTATCTGTTATAAAGACCAAACCCACTAGATCTGATATCAAAGTGAACAGAGGAAACAGGTAGGACAGGAATGACAACATTTTTATTGTTGTGAATTTATCCAACTTCCCTACTTACACTAAGGCACCTAATTTCTAACTACATCGATAGCTTTCTATGATTTCTGACCTATGAAGGTTCTGCATACCACTCTGACACAATTTTCAGGACCAGAGTCATAACAGAAATAATTAAGAAATTTTAAGCCTCCACCAGAGATTCAAGTAACAAGAACCGACTTTACATACTGGACCAAAAAACCAGTAATTGTCTTTTCAGCTTACCTTTTTTACTCAGGTCAATGGCAGCTTCTAGAAGAACTTCTAATTCCCCTTTCGGCAATACAGGAACAACCCATCGAGGCCTATATTCAGAAACAAAACAAACCCCACTCTATTTCAGTTGTGCTTCTTGAAATTTAAGAATCCTTGCCCCTTTGTAATGCTTTTAATATAGGGCACGAATATACATTATAAAAGGCTCTGATAACCACTCCATTTAGAAAAAAAAAAAAAAAACCACACCACATACAACAAACCAACTCTCATCTGAGCCTCTTTTCTCTTTACAACTCTAACCCAGCAAAAAAAGTCTTTAAAGAAATGCGGTGAAACAAAAGTGTAAGAATTCCGACTCTAGTATCAAGATACTTGCACAAATAGTCGACAGTCTCTGCAAACAGTGTGGAAATACCTGTTGATCATGTCATCCAACTTTGCCAGGTCTGTGTGTGGAAATGCAGGCTCCTCATCTTCAAGCTGGGGTGGAGCATCTCCTTGGCCCTGCTCATCAGGCGGGGTAGCTGGGGAGTTCTCATTGGAAGAATCAGGTGAAGAAGTCTAGAATTGGTACAGAAAATACTTTAATTGTTGTACTATATGCTTTCTACCTTGACAGTTTAAAAAAATAAGCTACTTTCCCAGTGAAGAAAGACAGTGTTTTACGACAGACTTTTACTTTCAGCAGGCCACCTATCTAGAAGGTGAAAATAAGGACCATACAGATGGTCTACTTTTACAAATCTACTGCAGAGAAGATTACTATTTTAGGTAGAAATACAAACTTCAGCAACAGCACAGAAGAAAATTATCACAAAAAACATTTTATAAAAAAAGTTTGCTAAAAATGAGTAACACTACTACAGCTAGCTACTAACTAACCTCCAAGAGTATGATTGGTTAAGCCCATTTTGATGGGCCATGCAACATACAATGCATTCTGTAAATGCATGTTTATTCATATATAAAATTAGTATGAATTGATGTAATAAATATTCAAAACAGAACAGCAAGATTCAGGAAGACAAGGGAAGACCAAAAACTCAGGAACGTTTTTTCACATGTTGTACCATGTCTGGTCAGCATCAAGTTACTTTTTTTCACAACCCCCTGTATGGTGTTGGTTTTTGGGTCTGTGTCCAGAACAGTGTTGGTAACCCATCAGTGTTTTGTCCATTTTGGAACAGAGCTTGCACAGATCCCAGACCATGTTTCTCACTTTGCCTCCCCGCAGCACATGGGCTGGGAGGGGACACAGTTGGGACAGCTGACCTGCATTGACCAAAGAGACAGTCCATACCATAGAGCATCATGCTTGACAATAAAACATGGGTAGGTTTTTTCCAAGGTATGTGTTGCTCAGGGACTAGCTGGGCATCCATCAGCTGGTGGTGAGCGTGTTTGCATCACTTGTTTTCCCTCTACCCATTTGCTAATTAAACTGCATTTATCTCAAATCATAGGATTTCTCACTTTTCCCTTCCGGTTCTCTCTCCTGTCCTACTGTGGCGGAGGGAGTGAGCAAGAGGGTGGAGGCTTACCTGGCAGCCAGGGTCAGCCCACCAGCCATGTTCCAAAGAACAACTCATTCTCTCATGAAGCAACAACCATTAAACCTCATTGTATTAAACAAATACCATTTTCATACGGAACTAAATGACAAAGTGTGGCTTTTCTTTTAAATGGGTTTCGCTGTACCATTTTAAATCATCTTTTCTGGTATATATTCCCCAACAAAAAGGAGTTATTACATTACAATACAGTATTTGAAACAGGATAACCTGTTCAAGAGAAACACGCCAAGTTGTTCAGGAAGTCTAGTACAATGAACAGAGAGCTAGATGAAGCTAATCTTGAAGAGCTGACACCCACTTGTAAGCTGTTTTTATTCAAAAAGTGCTTTTGCAGAACTGAGCATAAACTAGACTCACAGAGAATAGTTTTACAAATCTGTGGCAGGTAAGTCTACAAGGCAGTTCAGAGGAAGCTTCTGATATTACTCCAAGAAGGATTCTTATTCAAAATGCACACGATTGAAGGAACTATGCCACTGCCTGAAAAGGAAGCATCTTTTGCAATGCAGTGCTCCCTAACCGTATGTACTTTGCTAACAGTACCACCTTCATCCCTCAAAATCTATCTTTATTTTTAAACACCACACAAAAATATCTAACTAGACATTTCTAGGAATATACAAACTCAAATAATTAAGAAATACTATTCCTAAAGAACTAGCCCCTCTATTTTTAGAGCACTTGATTTTTAATATCATACCTGATTCTGCTGGAGGGGAGGCTGGGACTGTCCATCAGGAGCCTGGCCCTGGCTATCATTCCCTCCTACTGGAGAGCCACGAGTCGTGGCTGTCATACTCGACACAGGGCAGATCTTTGCAATTTTGTCTGCTTATGTAGTTGTTGTGAGAGAAGAAATTATAGTCCACTTAGTAAAGTTGAAGTACCAGCATATGCTTGCCTTAAAAAGCTCCAACTCAAGAACATGCCATCTTGCAGAGACCATTGCATAACCTGAGGGAAAAAAAAGAAAAATTATAATATACTATGCTAAAATATGCATATAAAAGCAATCCATGCCTGGAAAAAAACACTGCAAAAACAAATACACTGCTGTGAAGAATTTTTTATTTTAGATTTAGAATTCTTTTTATTGAGTACAGCTGACATCAGAGGAAGGTAGCATTTGAAATATTTAACACTTCAATGTTCTAAGTAAAAATTACACTGATAATTACTTCTATACCACTGAGAAACTGACACACATCCAAAATGCAGCAGTTTACTCTGTTGTGCTTGAATTGTTACAGCAGGTTTTCAATTTGAATTTGAGGTGCTAATCAAGGTCTACGCAGAAATGACCCGGCTGTGCATAAACAGCCAAATCTGTCATCTTTTCCCATACCCTCCTCCTGACACTGTCTAACTGCAGATGTCTGAGAGGGACTTTGAGATTGATTCTACCTCAACTAAGATACAGAGACCCTGCAGCTGAACTTCTACAACACACCAGTATTTACCCCAGGCATTTGATCTGTATTCCATTCTTCCAGCATGTGCCTATGGAAGCCTGGGTCCACTGGCCTTTCAGGGCCACTACAAAGTGATGACATTCCCACCAAGTATTTTAGTGGATTCTATGAAGAAAATTTTGACATCACATTTATTTTTTCATCTTGTAATCATGATATACCAACAGTTCAATTATCACAATGTATTTCAACATCATTTGTTAAATACAGAAACAAATACAGAATACCAAAAAAAGTTGCATTAAGTTATAACAGCAATTCCACTCTGTATCAGAGGACACGAAATGTAATTTTCCAGAGCAATTCAGACTTCCAAGCACCACATAAACCAACAACATTACTCAGGAAGTTCAAAAGCCAATTAGGGTGGTAGAAAGGATGGTATGAGCTTTCAGCAAGATTCATTTGGCAGTGCTACCTTCCTGATTCAGTCAGCAAAGCTTCAAGTTAAAAAGTTAGACTGAAATTTCTGCGATAACACTATGCATGCTTGTGTTTTATTATAATGTCTCATCTCAAACTAATTTTCAATGTTATCTTCCTGCAAGGTAATTTAAAATAATTTCCTAGACTGAGCAAATTTGCAAGTCGCTACACATGCAATAAAAATGCTGACTGAATATGCTACTCCTCTCCTACCCAGTCTCCAATATTAACAGCACAAACAAATTTAGAGATCTCTAATATTGTCACCAAACTAATGTTCATTTTGGAACAGAACTGTATTCTTTGAATATAGTCTACTGCAATCCAACTCCACCCTTCAGAATTCATATTCATAGGGCTTAGTAAGCTTGCTAAATCCAGAACAAAAGGCACTGCCAGTTCAAATTTTCTTTCCTTTAAAATTAGATTTGTTTTGTAAAAAGCTTAAACTCATTTTTAAAATTGCATTTTAAAAAAAAACACTTATTTTAATTGGTCCTCTGAGTATTTAATGGTTTTCTATTGACGTCTGAAAAATCACTGAGAAGAAAGTATTAGCAAGACTAAGTTTCCTGTCATACATGCATACATATATACACACCCACACAAACACTGCAGTCTACTGTGGTTCAGCACAGTTCCTCTGCACTACCTGATTGAAGCTTCTAGGTACTTGCATAAACCAACGAAATCAAACTTTTGCCAGCTTACACTGTACTTTTTAACAGCCCAAAGCCAACTACCACCACAATAAACCTTCCTTTAATCACCATCGTTCCTCCTTGGTAAGTCTAGTTCACAAAACACAACAACTTTTGCTGGCACAAGGAAGTAGTAAGGAAGCAGGAAAAAGATGAAACAGCTCCCTTCAGCAGTAATGCCAGTCTGCCTTGGATTAAACTGCAGAAAGAAGTGACCACTGGCAGCTGTGGTTCCCTAACAACCTATGTTGAGTACACACTTATTCATCCTCATCTCTTTCTTATTCAAATGCTTTTGGCTGAACTATCATGAAATGAGTCAGAGTACTAAAGGAAATAACCAAAAAAAAAAAAAAAAACCAAAACCCAAGCTTGCAAAGACTGATTATTTTTTAGTTTCTTTAATTACCTAAACTAGTGCACTGTAAAGCCAGAGAGTACTCATCCTCAAGGCAGTGATGGAGTCAGGACAAAAACTACAGCTCTCCTGTTAGATTGACTTATACTAGTGTGGATTTACCCTCAGATCTTCCCTCTGTGCTTAGCTAAGGGTCTGGGCATAGCATTCTTGTAAATTCCTCTCAGCTCAAGGCGAGTGACATAATTGAACTAGGAGACACAAGAAAACTGCTATGGAAATAACCAACTTGTTCAAAATCTTGGGAATTTCCAGAGTAAAACAAAATCTGTTGAAAAAAAATACACAGAATTTTGTAGACATTAGTAAATACAGAGCACGTACATAAAGGACTAATATATTTTTCTCCTCCTCTTATGTAGGAACTGCTTCCTTAGGTTTCTAATCACAATACTCTATGTATATTACTTAAATTGCATGCCCAGAAAAGCCTACTTCAGGGCCTCCAGAGAAGCTCACTTGGCTTCACCACGTGCATAAGACAAGGCCAACTTCTTTTCCCCACCCCATTTGGTGATGTCCTCAGAGATAAAAAAGTAACTTCAAGTTATGCTGTGGCTAACTAAAAACACTCCTGCAATAAATGGTCCAACTGCTTCTAACACCTGCATATTCTAAATTGCAAGGTTATCCTTGTTCAGCTATTTTCCTTTTAATTACACAGTATGCAAACATGGTTTTGTAAGCACAAATTATCTCATCTATGCGTTTTAAACAGTATTGAAAGGGAGTAGTTTACCAGTCCTGTTTGAAGCCAGTGATTTAACTGTTTGTATTTTACAGAAAACATCAAATTGCATGTCCATAGAGAACATGACTGCTTTTATCTCTCTATAATTGATTAACCGTGAAATTTCAAATTCCCTTCACTTCTTTAACTCAGACTATTGAATTTCAATTTTTAGAGTTAAAACCCACCAAGGCACAGTTAGGTTCAAGAAGCTTTACATCTATTTATAATTTAGTTGATTATTTATAAGCAAATGTAAACCCATGCAGCCACACCTTGGTTTTGGTATATAGACAGCCTAACAAGCAATTCAAGCTGCCTGTATCCAGCTGAATTATAATGGAGACTCTATATTAATTTTTATATATATCTCATTTCTCATTTTGGATTCATCATATTGTCATGTTAAAAAAAAAAAAAAAAAAAAAAAAAATCACCTTTACCCAAAGCTTGGAATGGATGTTTTGATACAGTGTCAAGATGGGGACAGAGGCCTATTAAACAACAAACTCACTACTCCATTGTTAATCATGCGATGCATGAGGCAACAAAGACTGAGTCAAATGAATCCCATTGACATTCTTTTTTGATTGCCAACTGAGCAAATTCCCATTTGCCACGCTTCTGCCATCTCTTGTGTCACCCTAATCCACCACTAAGTATAAGTGAAGGTCAGGTCTTGCTTCACCTGACTCCTTGTAAGTTTGTAACTATGGTTGTCTTTTCCTAGTGTTTTTTTAACTCCTGAGGCTCTCCATTTAGAAGACACCACCCACTGCAAGTAGCACTCCAACAAAGCACCAGCAGATTGCACAGAGGATGCCAGACACAGCACTGCCCTCTGGGAGGGATCTCTGCCTCCAGGACAAAACAGGATCTCACAGAAAACGTGCTTCTTCAACCTACATTCTGTACTGCAAAAAAGCTTAACAGCAACAATACAAATTCTAGGTTGGAAAGTATCACAGATTTATTTCATATAGGATTCTGGGAATTGCCTTCTTAAAATCCTAATACTGACTCATCACAAGGGTTACAATGTGATCCTAGACTAAAAATTCTAGACTGAAAAACCTAACCTTCTACCCTATTCCTGTATTTCAATCAAACCGCCTTCTCATCTATAAACACCTCCCCCAAAACTGTAACACTGACCTAATTCAGTAGTTATAGTCTATCTATACACACCCACACAGGCTTCTCATTTTGCTTCTCCTCTGTGCCTTGTGTCTTTCAGGAAGGAGGAAATTGTATAATCAGAACATTAAACTGGTGGTCCCAGCAATGTGCTCATTAACACTCCCATGAACTGAAATGTATTCAATCATTAATGAAAAATTTGTTGTTAAGATACTATTCAGTAGAGCAAGACATGTCTAAACCTCAGTATTCAAAAAATACCCGAGAAGCAACAATCAGAGAAAAGGTTACTTCGAATAGTTTATATTACAAAGACAATTAATTTAGATTCTCCTGATAAAGAATTCAGGGTACATGGGACTTAGTCAAGTGCATCAGGCTCCAACACATTACTTCAAAGCAATAAATTTCTAAGTGATAGAGTAAAAGACAGATTTTGAGCAACGGTAATTTTTATGGCATTAAACTATTCTCACTCAAAAACAGGTAACCTTTTTAGTTGATCTTTCCACATCATACATATGAAATTAAGACATTCAGCAGCATAAGTTTCTGGAACACTGAGAACATCCATGCAAAACTGACAACTCTATTTGCCCTAAGTGTCATATGAACAATAAAGAAGGGTGTTCTGAAACATAACTTCAGTTCTTCCAGGAGTTGTTGGTTTGTTGGGGTTTTTTAACTTCAAAGCTTGGCATTCAGATTACATGTAGCTAAGCCACATCTTCTCAATAGTATGCAACTTCACCTTGTAGAAGATGCTCCTACACCTACCATTTTTATTAACTTAAGAAAGCAGTAAAAGCACAGAAAGTAAATTTAAAAAAAAAGCATCACAACTGTTTGCCAGGTGAAGAGCAAAGCAGACCCCATACATACAGTCTCAAAGGAGTCTTCTGAATGCATGCAGATCTTCAAGTATCAGCAATGCAGCATTCTATGTTGAAGAGACTGTAGAGGAATGCTACAGAAAAATGCCAGTTTTAAGCAACATTTCCTCCTCCTTGAACAATGAATTAATATTAATCTGTATTATAGGCTTACAGGTGCATCAGCCTGTATC